CATCTTCTGTCCCAGTCACCGTCACGCTGTAGTGGTTTGATTATTATTACATCATCCCTTGTTATAGACAGATTAGAGAGCAAGCGCGATGCGTAATTTTTTGTTGTTTTGTTTTAATTCATATTTTCGTTAAAACATCGTCCGTGCTGGAAGCTTCTGGCTTCATGTTGTACGCCTTTGGCTGTGGCTGAGATTTATTTATAGCCATGACGCCGTCGTAGAAAAGGACGTATTGCTGACATACTAGTTTGGAGAAGTGAAGCGCAGTTCAATATGTTACAGTCGAAATTGTCTAAGACGACCACCGATTTTTCTGGAGTAAAGTGGCTGTCTTTGACAAGTAGACGTGGATGGTTGACGGGTGCTCTGGTGTGGTTCGCTCCTTCTTTCCAAAAAAAAATCTATCGTCTCTATCTCCCCTCCTTTTTTTTGGTGTTTGTTACTCTCTTGTAGCACCTCTAATCTTCGGTATTTATATGACCTTATTGTGTTGCAAGGGCCGTAAAACTCTTACTTAAACTAAAAGACAAGTAGACGTCCAACGCAATGTCGTTATAATGTAAAAAATTAAAAGACACTTGGGGGAAATGGGAATTGGCCATTTGTACAGGTGATTGTCTTATACTTTAAATACAGGCGGCTGTTAGATCAGTTTCAACTGTATTACTCCCAATATAATATAATATAATATAATATAATATATATATATGTTTTTTCTTACAGAGCCAGTCAATTAGATCTATGTAATCATGTACTACGGAACCCAGTGCTTCTCAACTGACTGAAAGGTTTTCCTAGACTAAAGGAATTTCTATTCCGAATAGTGAAACAAAAAGCCTATTTATGTGCGGGTGAATGAAATAAGAAAAGGGTGCGGGTGAGGAGTCGGGGGAGGGGGGGGGGGGATTTTTTCCAAGTTTAGGCGAGAGAAAATTGAAATTCAGAATTTTTAAAATGCGGATTTTCAGATTGGTTTGAAAATGTTAAGAAGCACTGGCTTAGATGATATTTATTTAAGATGTGGGGGTCAGACTTTCCATCCATTTTGTCAGAACAATTTCATCAATGCTTTGCAGGCTCCGGAAGAGTATGACCGCTACACCGACATCCGGGTGGCCTGTGTCCACTACATCCGCTGCCCACACGTGTTCTTCAAGACCAAGTCAGACACGTTCGCCATCGCGGTGCAGATCCTCGATATCATTCTGTGGAAGTTCAAGGTGAGTACGTTGTCATTTTTCTTTCTAAACGTGTGGACACGATGCGACAAGTCGAAAGTCGAATTTGAACTAATTCTGCGAGAGAGAGAGAGAGAGAGAGAGAGAGACCATTCATTTGAATTGGAGAGAAATTGCAATGTTTATGCGCTGGGTTTTTTTTTTTGGTATTCTGATGTTATTAAAATTATTTTGAATGTTTGAAACTGGGTTTTGGAAGAGGCTTTGGTGTAAAGAAAACAACCCTTTGGAGATACTGGTTCAATTTTCACACATTTAGAAACAGATTTCCCAATGATTTGATAGGGTTTGTTGATTAATGTTGTATATTTTCAAAAATGAAATTTAAAATACTAAATAAGATTATAACTCTGCTGCACAATAAATCATTGTCTTCATCATCACTGTGTTTAAAAATAATTTTAAAATGTTAAATTTTGATCTGAAAGTATAACCCCCCTTCCCTGCCCCCACCCCCACCCCCTATACGATAACAACTTTGCCTTCATCACTGGGATATTACGGATGTCTCTAGCAGGATATTAATTTTCTGTAAATTCTTTATGGCGTTTTGTTTTCCCGAAGCAGCCAGATTACTGGCTATAGAAAAGCCTTGTTATCTTCATAATTTGCTTCTATATTTGTATTCTGACGTCAAAGTCGATCTCCAATCTTCACAACATGTCCTGTTTTGTACACGCCTTTGTTGCAATGTTGTGAAATCCGGCAACCCCCCGCCCGCCC